CTTAAGTTTTAAAAGATTCAGAAGACCAAAATCTTCACAACTAAACCAATAGTAACATCATGACAAATGAGAAAAAGCTGAAGTTGTCAAGGATTTCATTCTGCTTGGAGCCATAATCAATGCTCATGGAAACAGCAGTAAAGAGATCAAAAGAAATGTTTTGAGAATGACCAGGGCAATCAATGTACAAATGTGCTTTACACAATTGATGTATGTATGGATTGTGATAAGAGTCGTATGAGCCCCTAATAAAACGATTTTAAAAAATGAGAAAACTGATACCAAGGGCTCAAGTAGAAAGAAAATGTTTTGAAAATGATGAGGGCAACAAATGTACAAATGAGCTTGACACAATGGATGGATGTATGGATTGTGATGAGTGTTGTATAAGCCCCCAATAAAATGATTTTAAAAAAAGACATGTTGCATTAGATAAATCTGCTGCAAAAGACCTCTTCAGAGGACTGAAAAGGATGTTACCTTGAGCATTAAAGTGCACCTGACCCAAGCCATGGTATTTTCAATTGCCTCATGCACATGAAAGTTCGACATTGAATAAGGAAAACAAAAGAAGAATCGATGTATTTGAATTGTGGTGGTGGAGACAAGTATTCAAAGTACCATGGATTGCCTTAAGAATAAATAAGTCTGTCTTAGTAGTACAGTCAGAGTGTGTATTAGAGGGAAAGGTGCTGAGTTAGTTAATTGTGCCAGCCTGGCCAATAATCACATGTGGGGCTAATTGAAAGGCGGAAGGATAAATGGGTGGTGAGCCTCGCCTTTCTAGTTCTCGGGTTTCTTGTTTTGTGATGGTTATACCGGGTGCAGCTGCCTTAGCAGTTCCCTGCTTCAGCTTGCAAGATTGACTTCCTACAAGACATCCCCAAGGAGAAGCTACATGGACCTATCCCGATGCAGCCCTGGGTGCTGGAGCAGCCGTGTGGAGACCCCTGCTAGTGCTGAGATGCTTGTTCGTTCACTGACTCAGCTTTCCTCCTGCAGTCGGCATCATTGCCTCTGTTTTGTGAGGTGGGGGACTTTGTGGACTGGTGTTGGGTTAATGGGTTAATGTTGGACTTGTGGGCTTGGGCAGCATTGGGTTGGGATGTTTTCGTGATGCACATTTTCTTTACATAAAACTTTCTCTCTTATACATGAGTCGCTGTGGATTTGTTTCTCCAAAGTACCTAGACTAATATAGGTGCCAAGATTTCATCTTACATATTTTGGACATGTTGTCTGGAGAGACCAGTCCCTGGAGAAGGATGTCACGTTTGGTGACTTACAGGAACAGCAAAAAGGAGGAAGGCCCTCAATGATAAGGACTGACACGGTGGCTGTATCACTGAGCTAAAGCACAGGAAGAATTGTGAGGACGGCACAGGACCTCGAAGTATTTTATGTCGGAACTGACTCAATGGCATCTAACAACAGCAAAGCCAAAATAGTTTAAGTTTTTTTGACTATACCAAGCATTTTGACTACAGTGAACCCTCGTTTATCACGGTTAATCGATTCTAGACCCTACCGTGATAAATGAAATTCCGCGAAGTAGGATTCCTTATTTGTAAATCAAATATTTTCGTAGTTAGAGCATAGAGGACATGAAAAAACACCCTTTAGTCACCATTACACTCGTATTACCCAATTTATTAAACGAAAAAGGGAAAATACAGTAAAACATTTTGGACGTTACAATTATCATTTATTATTATTATATTATTTATGGCATCTAGTTTACAGTGGCAGTAATGACAGAGCATGCACTTTTACTCAAAAACCGCGATAGAGTGAAGCCGCGAAGTAGAAGCGCGAAGTGGCGAGGGTTCACTGTATATTCAAACTAAAAAGGAACTGTAAGAAAACTATGTATTATTTTTAATATGCTTGTTTTTCACAGTGGTGTCAACTCTGAAACTACTACTTTCAATATATTCTGGGATTGAACAAAGAAGTAAAATGATTGAAAGCCAGGTTTCTCACGTTCAGAGAAGCCAAATAAAAATACAGACAAGAGTGAAAGACAAGAGAACTCAATGGTGTTAGATTGGAATTGAAGATTTAGTATGAATGCTTAGTGAAACAGACAGAAAAGTGAGAGCTGACTAGAAATAAGTGTGGAATGTGTGTGCCCATGTGCATACACATACACGCACATACGCATTCACACCCCTCTTAGCTCTACCCACTGAGGAGAACTAGAATCTTTGATACTCTCAAGAAGAAATACACATATCTACCTGCAAGTCAAAATGGACTCCAGGGCTATGAGAACTAGAATCTTTGATACTCTCAAGAAGAAATACACATATCTACCTGCAAGTCAAAATGGACTCCAGGGCTATGAGTTTAGTTATTAGTTTTGTTCTGTTGTACATTTGGTCACAATGAGTTGGAGCCAACTTGATAACGATGTCAACATCGAACATCTAAGAACCAGCGCTCCATAAAGAAAAGACTAGTCCAAGACAGGAACAGAAAAAGTACAAAATTACCTACAACACCTTATTGTGCCATAAACTGTAGTGTTTAGGTGCACAGTAAGTCAGGCACTGGGTTGCAAAATATAAGGTCAGCAGTTCAAATCCACAGCCATTCCATGGAAAAAAAGATAGAATGCCTGTTCCTGTAAAGATTTATAGTCTTAGAAAGCCAAAAGAGCAATTTTACTTTATCTTACAGGGTTGCTATGAGTTGGAATGAACTAAATATGGGTGGATTTAATTGGGGTTTTGTATTGGACCTATTTAGAACAATCTGTACATAAAAATAAAAAATGACAAAAAACAAACCCACTGCCATCAAATCACTTCTGACTCATAGCAACTCTAGGGGTCAGAGTAGAAGAGCTCCATAGGATTTTCAAGTCTGTAAATCTTTGCAAAAGCAGACAGACAGATCTTTTTTCAGTAAAGTAGCTGATGGGTTTAAACTACCAACCTTTCAGTTGGTAGTCAAGCATTTAACCACTAGCCCACTGTGGTAGTTACATAATTTCATAACAACTTGAAGATATAGTGTAGGGGTGGTATTCAACCTGTCAATCAGGTCACAACCTGATGGTGCTTCCTGTGGGTGTGGCCTTATCATAAGGGAAGCCTGGGATCCTCCCCTTTTCTCTCTCTCTGCCTTCATCTTCCCTTCTGGCAGACCCTGGTTGCTGAGAGCCCTGGAGATGCATCCACCACCATTGGATCCATGGGACTTTGCACCCACCAGCCTGTGAGATTCCCGTATTCTGCATCATTCCATGTGGCTTCATGGGCTAGTATCGGACCTATAGACTTGAGTTGGATTGGGCTGGGATGTTTTCTAGATATATAACTACTTCTTGATATAAAGCACTTCCTTAAACATATATCACCACTGGATTTGTTTCTTTAGTCAACCTGGCCTAACATAATCACCAAGGCTTCTTAAATAAGAGCAGTATTGGATTATAAATTATTGAAACAGAATAGTAATGCATGAGTCCATAGTCATATAAATGAAATATAAAATAGCAAAAAAGAAAAAGTTCTCCCTTACTACAGATTTCCAGCTAATAAGTATAGAAGAAAAGATTAGAGAATCACCAGTTACCAAGCAATAACTGACTCAGATACAAATTAATGGATGCAAAAATTACTAAGTGGAAATTTGGGGACGGAATTATCTAACTCATCTGAAAGCATCTTTCCACATGATAATTACTTTCAAGAAAAAAACAGTAACTCTTCAACAGAGAAGTTACTCTGGTAGACCTTAACTTAAGCAAGTGATCAAAACAATCACCATTAGTAGTGGGATCATTATATCTTCAGATATGATGAGCCCAGAAGACACAAAACCACTTTTGTGGTATTCCTGCCACAAATGCATCTCATTCTAAGAATGCGGCAATTAAAAACTGATAGTCTTGAAGATCACTGGTCTGTATGGTATACTTCATAAATGTTAAAATCGTTAAAGTTCTATATGAAAATAAGGAGCTGCTCTAGGTTAAAGATGTAATAAGTAAATGTATATATGACCCTGAATTGTACCTCAGAAATGTTTTGCTTTGAAAGACATGTTTGGAACAACTAGCAAATATGAATATGGTCTTCAGATTAGATAACAGTAATGTCTTCATTCTGATAACTGCACTATAATACGAGAGATTTCTATGCTCCTGATGTTAGGAAGCACAAACAGCATGACTGCAATTTACATTAACTTGCCAAGAGAAAATTATGTATATATTCAAAACAAAATGACCAAAAATGTATCAAAAGATTGATAATTGAGATAGTGACAGTTGTGTTACTGAAACTTTTACACAAGATGGAAGTTACGTCAAAATAAAAATTAAGTATTTGTGTCAATTTCACTTATATGTTCCTTTAATACAAAGACTTCAAATCATTTGTAGAAAAATTTCCATTATCCTTTAATTCCATTTTCCCACTAACTGTTAATTCCCCTACTATAGGGACCCCTGGTGGCATAGTGGTTATATGTTGGGCTGCTAACCAGAAGGGCAGCAGTTCGAACCTACCAGCTCCTGGGGAGAAAAGACTTGACTTTCTATTCCAGCAAAGACTTACAGCCTCAGAAACCCAAAGTGTCAGAATTGCTCTGTCCTTTAGAATCGCTAAGTCAGAACTGACTCTGGCAGTGAGCGGGAGTGAGTGTAGATAAAATAATTCTACATAGTAACAACTAAATCAATCTAAACGTATTCTCCCTTTGGTATAAAAATTCTGAGGGACAAGAAGATATTGTTTACGTTTATTTTACTTTTGTCATTTTTTCTTCGTTTTTGATGGCACACAAAATCATGCATCTTAAAATGAATGGATCTTAAATTCAAGGAAAATACAATGCGTGCAAGGCTTTTAAGAACATATGCCCCCAAAAGAGACATATACAAGTCATTAGTTCCTGTTGAGTCAATTCTAATTCATGGTGACACATGTGTATATACAATTAGTATGAATCTATTTTCTCAGCTCAGAAGAGTCACCGACTATAAATACCTTGTGTTGCTAGAATAATCCCACATGGCCACATCTAGGAGGCTCCGAACCCAGGTCTTAGAAGGCTCCTTGAGAAATTTTTCTTGGTAGATTCCCACTACAAGGTCCTCCACAGTAAGTAGTTTCAGATCATGCCCTATTTCTTCCATTGGTAAATGGAAAAAACATAATTAGTGACTTTAGGTACTTAGAATATGTACATCAAACTGTAAACAAATATAGATCCTATAATGTACTTTTATTACCTGATGTCTTAGCCATATGCTTCAAGCACCAGTTGACTCTGGGTCTATCATCAGACTGGAAAAAAAGGAGGGGGGATTTTTACTTTCTACTTTTCACATTAGTACAGGGTGGGGGAGTCTCGAAGGGCTTGTGACAATGAAATCAGGATTATAGTTTTAAAAAGGAGCGATATACATGAATATAAGACTACTGCCATTAACAGTCACTTAAATTTGTTTGTATAGTAATGTTAACATACTTTATGAAAAGCAAGTGAGACTTAGAATGAGCAAATAAAGAAACCAATGTCCAGAAAACGATAAAGCTGTTTACAATTATACTATTAAAGGTAAAAAAACCCAAATGTTTGAAGTCTAGAAAACTTTAGATATAATCAAGAACAAATATACTCTCTGTAAGATTACAAAACCGGGGGGGCAAGAAATTGCTATGAATACAGTTTTCAATAAAAGATAATCATGCTTATAAAGATAGGCATATAGACTACAAAATCTATTCTTCGGGGTAAAATGATAATGAAAAAATTCCAGAAGATGGAACTCAAAGACATACTATCAAAGTGGAAATAATTTCAGGTTTCCTAGCCTCCAAATCCTTCCAAAAACAGAGAAAGTGATCATATCTAATTACAGTGCTACCTCAGTTGTCAAAGGGATCCAAACTTGAACTTTCCACTACTTGAACAGCAAAGTTCGAAAAAAAATCTGCTTGGTGTTTCTAACTTTGCTCAACAGTTCAATCAAAAATCCCACTTGAAAAAACCTGTACAGGCTGAGAGTGAGCCTAAACACATCTTACCGCATACACAAAGGGGTAACACTACAGAGTTAAGTGCTGCTCTCGCTCAGACAACATATAGTGCTTGTATTAGTGGACTGTCAATGCTTTGTTTTGTACTTTATTTGCATAAAGGATTATAACCATGGCTCCAAATAAAGTTAGTGATACCAGCAGTAAAGCTAAGAGGAAAATTGAGAACCACGATAGAGTTAAAGAAATAAATCAGTGAAATTTTAATCAGGTTGCTACTTGTTGATTTAGCTGCTGAATACAACCATGGCTAAGTCGACACTGTCAACATTTTTGAAGGAAAAAAAATGTTAAAGATGCTAATGTAACAAAAGATATGGAACTGTTAACCACAATGAACAAGTTGAAAAGCTAATATGGATAAATCAGAAATCCTTGATGGCAATAGCATATCCAAGACAGTGACATGTGAGGTTAAAGGCCTCCATAGTAACTTAAAATCCTGGAAAAGCGAACTTACTGTGTTTAACTTTTGGATCTCAGAAAAATGTTCATGTCTCAAACTTTTTGCCTTTCAAACAAACTTGGAATGAGTTGAGTTCTACAACAGATATCACTGTATATTCCAAGTAAGCCCAAACAAACATGTTTTAACCCACAAAGCTAACACAAGGGCAAAAGTGCTTTGTGGATACTTTACAGAAAAATTTTAAGCTGAAATTACCTTGCAATAGATAGGCGGCCAGTTCCCTGGGTTTGGATTAATGAATCTATACAGGTTTGTTAACACAGTTGCATGGTCATGCCCAGATTCAAAGTTTGAAATAGGAATCTTGTGGCTAGAATCACCTGGAGAAAAAGAGTTCAAAATATTACCAGGACAGTATTATGGGGTAGGTATTTGGGGGTGGGGGGGTACAAGAAAAGCGTAAAAGGTAAGTCATAGTTAAGCATCTGCACTTAGCCTGGTATGACTGGATACTTTACATGTTCTACCCCATAATCACACAGCCATGCCGAGCTAGGTGGTATACACATTAAAAGGAGCCAACAGGGAAGCACAGAAATGTGTACAGTTAGTACGCTTGTGAGCCGTGGAATTGGTTCAATTTCAGGTTTGACCAACCCTACAGTACTTTCACCATTACTGTGAATCTTACTATATAGGCTAGAAAGCCTAATAATAATGACTGCTTTTAAAATGACCATATGATCAAGATTTCTACTTCATATAAAAACAGACTGGGCAATTCAGACTAAACCTAGCAAGACAAAGAAAAACACGCCTATCTTATCATGGGTACACACAGTGAGGAATTACTGGGTGAAGATGAGAGTGTAGAAATCTAGAGTAGCAAGAACTTGGGGGTAATTTCTCTCCCGGAAGAGAATTTTACTTCCTGAAGAGGAAGCAGAATGGCTGTGTAGACTGCTTTTTGACAGTTTGGGGGCCTGAACTGTCAGTGACCCAGGTTTCCTGGGAAAGCATAAATCCTCTCTGGAAGATAGAGATCATCATTACCGACCTCAAATTCCAGTCACTTCAAACATTGAATATGAATAACCAGGTACACAAAGAAACTGAACCAAAATGAAGGCAATAAATACCAATGAGGTCTCCAGGTACTAAAGTTATTACACGGCGATTTTAAATGAAAATGTTTATTATAGATTCTGATAAAGAATTGTAAATAAAAACCACACACAAAGTGAAAACTTACACCTTTGATAACAGACTAGAGAAAGGCTGAACAAGTATAAGGATATTTCTGCTTGTAAACACTACAGAAATGAAACATGGGTAAGGAATCATCAGCCCAGATCCTGCCTGAATCTGGAATTTGGGGAAGTGTTCCCCATTAGGGCATTTGGCAATTCTGGAAGAGATTTTAGAGGCTGAAAAACCAAGCTAAATTGACAAGATAACCAGACCCAACAATTTAGGAGAATCACTATGATCATGCTAGGTTTGTTCCTACAATGCAAAAAGTCACCATATGAACAAAAACTATAATAATCTGAGGTGCAGGCAGAAGACACACTAAAATTCAAAACTGGCACTTTCCTAGAATGTTATTCTGACAGAGAGCAAACATTAGCCAATAAAAGGAGGAAAAAATATAAAAAAAGAATCTACAAGAGACAGTATGCTCACTTTAGAAACATTAGAAAGTAGAGGTACTAGCGTATACATTATAAGTAAATTTTAAAGATAAGGATAATTATTAGAAATAAAAGTCATTTTGCAGATATGACTAAAAATTTGTTAAACTTGGAATTATACTTTAGTAATTGGTAGATTAAAAAATAAGATATACAAGTAAACTGATAGAAAACAATTTCAAGAAAGCAATCATTTACAACAGTAATGAAAAGTATATGATAAACTGTAAATCTAACAAAATATATTCATCAGTATAGAGAAAATTATAACACTTTACTGAGGAGAATAATGATCTAAAATTAGGAGAACAATCCCATGCTAACAGACAGACTCAATATAATGAAGATGAATGCTTTCTTCAAAATGTTTATGGAGTTAAAGGTGATTCGAACATAAATCCCAACTAGGCTCTTCTGAAAGATGGAAAAGCAAAGGGACAAGAATATCAAAGATACCTTAAAACAACAAAATCAAGGGACTTGTCTAATGAGCAATGTAGCATCAAATTAATGTGGTTAAGAACATGGTATTAAAGTCACAAAGCAGACTAACAGAACACAGTAGAGATGAAAAAAGCAACATATAAACGGAACTGTGACAGACTACCTAGAGAAAATAATTACTCAGCAAATGAAACAGGAAATTGACACCCATATGAGAAAAAGTGAAACTGAGTCTCTACCTCCTATCATATACAAGTTTAATTCTTGGTGAAATAAAGACTTGAATACAAAAAGAATTCTTGAGAAGAAAATAGAGGTTATCTTCAAAACCTGGAAGTACAGGAAAATTCTCAAAAACAAAGAAGGCTTAAGAAAATATATTTGCTAAATTACAATTTTCTGTTGATTGTCATCCTAAAGAGTGAAGACATTATAATGCACAAAATGGAAAAGATAACAGAATAAACAACAATCAATATGCAGACATATAATAAGCTTCTATAAGCCAATTAAGATGAAACAACAGAAAATTGAGTATGGTTACATTAAAAAAGGTATAAAAATGTCAATTACATAAGTCTATCAAAAATTAAATGTATCATATATAATTGCATATATATACATAGTAAAACTACTTTGAAAACAAAAAAGGAATTAAACACAAAGTTAACGGTAGGGGTTCTCTATAAAGACAGAAGAGATGGAATCAGGCAGCCATCTCCATTGGTAATGCCAATGTGCAATTTCCTCGGCTGACTGGTTGGTGCATTGCTGTTCATTAATATTTTTTATATTTTACATGAAAACATTCTTTTTTTGCATGAAGCTTCATTTTAAAAGATAGTGGGTCTTTTCTGAGAGTGTGGGTTTTTTAATATAGGAGGGTGATAGTGGTGACTTCCAAAGCTTTGCTTGTTTTGTACAACTTGTCTAAAAATCAAAATAAACAAATAACATAAAAACTATTAGTCAATGAAGTAAACAGAAACAGAGCGTCTCTGAAGTGAGGGAGAAGGGTGTGTTAGTCTGGGTACTTTAGAGATACAAATCCACAGAAACTTATGTATAAGAGTGTTTCATATAAGGTTAAGTGCACATCAAGAAAACACCCCAACCCAGTGCTGCCCAAGCCCACAAGTCCAACATTAACCTATATATCCAACACCAATCCACAAAGTCCTCCTCCATCTCACAAAACAGACTGCAGGAGGGAATGATGCCGAATGCAGGAGGGAAGCTAAGTCAGTGAATGTGTAAGCATCTCAGCGCTGGCAGGGGTCGCCACACGGGTGCTCCAGCACCCAGGGCTGCATCGGGGTAGGTCCATGTGGCTTCTCCTCAGGGATGTCTCCCAGGAAGTGAGCCTTGTTAGTTGAAGCAAGGAACTGGCTAAGGCAGCTGCACTCTGGTCCGACCATCAGAAAACAAGAGACCCTTGAACTCGAAAGGTGAGGCTCACTGAGCCATTTATCTCTGTCCTTTAATTAACCCCGCATGTGTTTATCAGCCAGGTTGTCACAATAAACTAACTCAATCCACCCCTTGCCAACTTGGCGCCTGTAGATCATTCTTTAGCCTCACATTTGCAATTAAGTAACATCTACACCTTAACCCTACAATCCTGTGAATATGTTCCCCCACCTATGAAAGTTTGTAAAACAACCACTTCATGCCTTTATCCCCCCAATTTTGGGTATCCAATTTATATACTGCCCACTTACATAAACCCAGTGCTCTGAGGAGACAATCATATTTTTCGACACGAAGAAATCTTCATTCCAGTTGGAACCTTGTAACATCTGCATCCATAAGCAAAGTCAAATCCGGACAGGCCATCCATAAAGTCACCAACAATATGTACCAGTTTACAAGCTCAAAAATCTCATCTGGTCAACTCAGTGTGGACTGCCTCACTCAGCCTCCACACGGTGCCCATCAGTCGCCTTGCCTTTAGACCATGGGCTCTCACCAATACTCAACAAGCCTAGCTCCCTCGTGCTAGGTCATGAACTTTAGACCAGTCAATCCACTCTTCTTTTTTCCTGCAAACCAAGTCCACAGGTGTCTGTGGCCAAACTCAACCAGGTGTCTGTGACCAAACTCAACCAGTCTCTCTATTGCTGCATTTCCACTCAACAAGTAGATCCAGGTGGTCATCTAGAAAGCATTTTAGCCTGCTCTCAGGCTCCCTTTAACATTCAGTCCTAGAGGGGAGTTTTCTTCATGGTTCCGGATTTTTTCCAGCTTCTGAGAAAGATCATTGGTTGAGTACTCCAAGCACTGGGTGGGGCCTATCTTTTCAAAACTTTCTTTGTAGGCGTAGCCTAAACCCATCTAAAGATCAAATTTTAATGGCTGAAAGCCAGTGGGCTTACAAACTTTCCATTTTCATACTTCCAATATTTTTCCCAGAAAACAACCAAGTAAACAGTGTGGCTTTATCTGACCTCTTGCTGGACAAAGAAGAAAAACTACATGAGGGAGAGGTCAAACCAACATCTACTCTCCATCTTATGATTTGTTTCTCTAGTACCCCACTCCCAAGGTACCATAATGTGTTAGTCTGGGTACTTTAGAGAAACAAATCCACAGGAACTCATGTATAAGACAGTTTTATATAAAGGCTAAGTGTACATTAAAAAGGCATCCCAACCCAGTGCTGTCAAGCCTGTAAGCCCAACATTAGCCCATATGTCTGATACTGATGTACAAAGTCCTCCTCCATCTCACAAAACACACACTGGTGCCGACTGCAGGAAGAAAGCCAAATCAGTGTAAGCATCTCAGCGCTGGCAGGGGTCTCCATGTGGCTTCTCCTTAGGGCTGTCTGGTAGGAAGTGAGCCTTGCCAGCTGAAGCAGAGAACTGGCTAAGGCAGCTGCACCCTGGTCCAACCATCAGAAAGAGACCCGAGAACTCGAAAGGCGAGGCTCACCTAGCCATTTATCTCTTCACCCTTCAATTAACCCCACATGTGTTTACTGGCCAGGTTGGCACAATAAATAACTCAAAAGGGCCACACTGAAAAAGACCCTAAAGTACCATTTCTGAGGAACAGTTTGGGGAGAGTATGGGTGAGATCACTGGACTGTTAAAATCTTTCCCTATCTTGAGATCCTGGTAATTCTAATGTGCTAAACCACAATGCTCATGAAGCATACACAAACTTCGCTCACACATACTTCAGAAAAGGCCAGATGGCACAGAAGCATTTGACAGCTCTATGTATGTATTTCTGAGCTATTATTTAAATTCAGTGCTGTCACTAGGGCAGTGCAGACTGGGTGACACTGCCAGAGGAGTGACACCAAAATGACTGCCTACAACATCCTGTGCAGTGTTTCAGCAGGAATTTATTACTTTTATAAAATTATCAACAACAAAAACAATTTTTTGTAAGCCCAGCTTACATGACTCAATATACTTAAAAAGCTAAATCTCTCTACTTTCTGAACCTTCTACTGCACACTGGTCAGAGCTGTTATCACAACCCAATTACAATGACATTCTGAATCGCATGGTTTCATCTGCATACATTACAAGCACATAGTATTTTAGTTTCACTGTTTTGTTCTTATCATCGTTTTGTCACATCTTAGGGTGCTCTAGCTATCTATATTATGGTAGATAAGGCGTTCTGGTGACACTGTGGGTTCGGTGTTGGTCTGCTAACCACAAGGCTGCCTGCATCCATGAGGTTTACCATCTTGGAAATCCCACATAGGGTTGCTATGACTCAGAATTAATTTGAGAGCAGTGGGTTTGGTTTATTTTGATAATTAATATTTGTAACCCTATTATCTGGAACCCTATCATCACTAACTTTTTGGAGGTTTTAGTAGTAATTACAGAAAAAGCAGAAAAAATTTAAGTTCCACTGAATTGCTAATAATGTTATAATTAAATGCACAAAGATTTTGTTAGTATTCATATAATCTGAGAAATATTACATTTAAGCTATTTATATATTATTCTATGACTAAAATTGGTAATAAACATAGCTAAGGATTCTCTGATTTGGTATGGGACGAGGTCCATGGGGATGGGAGGGGGAGAAGACAGTGACACTATAAGTTAGTTAAGTAACACCTAGTGATGCCACTGATCAATTTGATCACAACTACATGTAAATTTGCTTGTGTATTACCGTATGGAACATGGTCTTCTAATGAGTGTGATTATACTACCATAGGCACTTTTTGTTTTTATTTCCGTCGACATGGCTGTCATTCTAATAGTCATTTTTCTTATTTAACTGGCACACCTCCCAGTGTAGCAGATTGACAATGTAATACATACACAACTTGGTGAGCACCAAATATTTTAAGTTTCCTGAATGAGAAAGACTACTCAGTTTCATGTTAGTATGAGTAAACAGAGAAAATATCCCAAGAATCTTTAATAGATTTTTTTTTCTGAGAACATACTCGGTTATCCTGGTCAATTTGAAAACGTTTTTTTTTTTTAAAAAAAAGCCTAGTTAAAAAACAACAAAACTTCCCAACACCAAAGAGTCAAGAAATAGTAAGTTCAGGGGCATGAATGAGTGCCTGGAAAATAGCAGGAATTACAATGTATTCAATAAATGAACACACTAGAAAACAGCTAACAAAAAAATTAATTTACCAGGTACATTTCTATTTTTGTTTTGTACTATTATTTAGGGGCGTCCTGGTGGTGTAAGAGGTCATGTATTGCGCTACTAATTGCAAGTGATAGTTTAAGTCAACCAAGCACCCCATGAAAGGATGATGAGCTCTCTGCTCTTGTAAAGATTTACAGCTTAGGAAACACGAGTTGGAATTGACTTGATGAGAGTGAGTAGAGACTTTTTGGGTTTCAGTATCTACTTAGTCTAACAATCTCAAGTGATGCAACACTTAGGAGAAATTAGTTATGTTCACATTTCAAAGTTACTGTAAAATTTCTTTTCACTACTAATTATCTCAAAGTTACATTGCAGTTGCTGTTAGGTGCCAATTCATAGTGACATTACGCATAAAAGCCAAGTGTTGTCTAGTGTTGCCTATCTTTCTGCCATGGTTGAGTCCACAGCTGTGATTATTGTGTTGATCTATGTATGTGTCACTGAGGGTTTCTCCCATTTTCGCCAATCCTTGAACAAATAGGGAGACTTCAAGCGTTGTGGGAAAATGAAAACATAATGGAATCTTCCCACAAACTTACTGAAGCCCCATTGTGTAAATTTTTTTAGTGATTCCTTTTTTCCTGATGATGTGTCTACACTAAGTGAGCGAAGTGTTGCCATCCAAGTCTCTAAGGAGGATTCTGGTTTTATCTCATCTAAAACTGATTTATGCCTTCTTCTGGCAGTTACGGTGTATTAAATATTGTTCACCAGTATCACAGTTCAGGTGGATCAATTCTTCTGTCTCCTGCTATCATTGTCCAAGAATATGAGGTGAATGAAAAGACTATTGCTCGGGTCAAGTTCACCTCAGTCATCACAGTGGCATCTTGACTTTGAAGAGGATCTACTAAAAAAGCGCTTCTTAAATTCACTCCCTAGGTTACAGCTGATTCCAGGTGAACAAGAAAATGGACTAGTGCATATTTTTTACTGAAGTTTTAAACACTGTGACGTATGCAACCAAAAATTAGTTGCTAATCATAGCAGATCTGGAAAGCTAAATTGTACATTTCATATACTTTTATAGCAGTAGTTCTCAACCTTCCTAATGCTGTGACCCTTAATACAGTTCCTCATGTGGTGACCTCCAACCATAAAATTTCTTTCGTTGCTATTTCATAACTGTCATTTTGCTACTGTTATGAATTTGGCAACCCCTGTGAAAGGGTCATTCGATCCCCAGAGGGGTCACGATCCTCAGTTTGAGAACCATTGTTTTACAGGCTGTCTAGATTTATAAAGTAAAAAAGTCATTTAGATACAAGTACCATTAAATCATCAGTTTTGAATAAATAAATTAAAAACTAAATCAATTATCAAAAGTTTCAATCTCATCAAATAGGAAACTGTTTGAAAACCTCGATTCTAGAGAGTTTAACTCAATAGTTTATTCAATCATGTCCTTTGTTCACAATATACTTAAATCACTAAAACAAAAAAACATTTTCTTGTGTACAAAATTAATATTTTACCTGCTTATCACTATTTTTCTATTATTTTGAACTCTTCAACTTTTAAAAATCTTTGAACATTTCTGTAACTGGCCATAAACCTAGGTATTCTGAGACCACTTAGAAAATCTTACTTAAGTACCCAGCCACTAACAGCAACTGATCTTGAAGCCAAAGAACATACAGAGATAATAAAGCCTAGTAAAGCAATAAAAGTTTTGAAATTTTGAAACATGAGCAAATACCATCTACCATTTCTATGAAGACCCTTCAATAGTAACATAAGGCTATTTTTCTCAACTTATATTTTATGTATCTGTGTAAAGCAGTGAGTGTTAGTTATGTACGCATACATATTCAATCCTATATGCTACCCCATTCCTTAATACTTACTTGCAGCCTGACAATGAAACCTAAATCCTCGTGGAATTTCCCCTGTAACACAAAACAACATATTTTATTTAGAGAAGTACTATGTTACAAAATGATCAATATGGCTAAGTAGATGCTTTAAAATATAGTTTATTTTTAATGGTTTCACTAACATACAATTCACTTATTAAACATTTCAATAGTTTAATCACATTCATACGAGTTGTACAACTATTACCCTAATCAATTCCAGGACATTTCCTCTTCCTTGTACTTCATTGTTGTTAGTTCCCTGTTTCCCACCAGCCTCCCGTCATGTGCCTTTGAATCTACTAGTCCAGTCTGTATCTCTATAGCAGCGGTTCTCAACTTGTGGGTCCCAACCCCTGTGGGGGTCGAACAACCGTTTCACAGGGGTCGCCTGATTGATAACAGTAGCAAAATTACTGTTATGAAGTAGCAACAAAAATAATTTTATGACTGAGGGATCACCACAACATGAGGAACTATATTAAAGAGTCACAGCATTAGGAAGGTTGAGAACCACTGCTCTATAGGATTACCTAATAGGGGTTTTATATACAAAACTGAAAAACTACAAATAAATGGCCCAATAATAGAGTGAAACAGAAAAAATCTCAACTGGAAACAAAGCAGAAAATACTAAAAATTGGAGCAATTATACATTGGATTAAAAGGGAGATCAAGAACAAGGTACCTTAATTTGACCTAACTACAATTGCAGTAATCCACCTACAATGTACTCTGATAACAAGGCTTTACCTATCTCTGGTCCATAGTCACAGGCAATTCACCAGAGGCTTAATCCATGTGAGGATCCTGCAAATGGGTTTTTTGTTTCCTCTGCTATCCATAATCTATAGCAGCGATTCTCGACCTGTGGGTCGTGATCCCTTGGGGGGTCAAAGGGGTCAAATGATTCATAATAGTAGCGAAATTACAGTTATGAAGTAGTAACAAAAATAATTTTATGGTTGGGGAGTCACCACAACATGAGGAACTGTATTAAAGGGACACAGCATTAGAAAGGTTGACAACCACTGATCTAAAGCCTTCTACAAACCCGGTGTTCACAATTTAAGCTCTCATACCATGCCCTTTTCCAAGTTTGGATTTTACTATTTACAATTCTTGGATCACACATGCTGTCTGTGACTTAACCAATGTCTCCCTTAGAAGGATGCTTATTTTAAGATAACCATGTAAGACCCAAGATACTATTCATTCTGAAAGCTGGGAACCATCTATTTTCTTCACCGCACTTTGCTATAGTAACCGTATCTTCAGTGAACACTTCATAGGAGGAAGTATGAACAGGGTCATATAATAAGAACTATGAGTTGACATCAAACTTAGGTGAATGAGGAGATATGCTGAAACTTTCAATAATGCTCACTCACAAAGACAGAACTGGGAAATACGCCCATGAAACAGTTCTCTGTAACACTTAGAGTCACCATGAGTCAGAATGTACTTGATGGCAACAAGTTCAGTTAAAGGAGCCTGAGTGACCAAGGTTGTTTGTGATAAACTACTAACCAAAAAGGTTACTGGTTTGAACTCATCCAGTGGCTCCTCAGGTCTAGAAAACAACTGAGAAAACCCTATGGAACAACAATATTACTTTATGGGGTCACCAGGAATGGAATCAACAGCAACAGGTCTAGGATTTTTTGAAACAGCAAAGTTGCCATTACTGGGAAACTACTCAATGGCAGTGGATTTTTGGTCATCACAAGAATATACAGAATGATTAATTTTAATTTCAGTACTGGGGTGGTCCCAATGAATTTTAAAACAAATGACAAAACTAAAGATGATATTCTCTCATATGGTTTACTCTTCTCTAAACCTTCTTTAGAACAGTATTCCAAAGGGATTATCCCCACTTACAGATAAACAAATAGATTCAGAGGGCGAGTAATTTGCTAAAAGTTCTAGAACAAGAACTGGTTTAAAAACTAGTGACCATGAAGGTGAAGAGCCGAGTAGAGGGAGAGTCTAGGTATAAAACTCTTTTAGAAAACCCCACGTTATAAGAGACCAGGTAAATGATCAGTAGGCTAAACCATTTTCAGGTATCTTTGAAGTTAAGAGTCTAAATCCCAAAACCTGTGTCAACATCTCATCAGCTGTGCATTAGCTGCTAAAACAAGTATTATCAAATGAAGTCATGAATAAATGAATACACACACACAGAGAAATATATTCTTAAGATTTTTCTCATCTACCCATTCCACCTAGCTACTTACCAGGATTTATGAAACTGTGGAAATCTGCCAAAATACCATCTTGGAGAGAATATTTAACACAGCCAATTTCACAAGGAAGGAAGCGCTGTTCACAATGTGGAGGTAGCTCACCATGGCTAAAAATGTTCAAAAAATAAAAAACGCCTCCAAGGAGAGCTGAAAGAAAATCATAAGACAAAACCAACAGATTTAAGTACCTCAAATTTACCCTAAAGGCCTCTTTAGTTCAAAGGTGAGGGGGTAGGGTGGGGAGTTTAGAATCATTCTCAAATTGTGTTCCTGTATTTTTAAATGAGCTGGAAAAGAGAAAACGAATCACCTGTGATAAGAAATAGAACATTTTACAATTACACCTAAAGGGTTAAAATAGTAACCATCTTTGCATAAAGCAAAAATGTTCAGATATGGAGACAGCTCTCTATATTCTAGCTACCCATAAACCTCAAATCTCAGTTGCATGAATAAAAACCATGGCCCATGTTTAACAAACATTAGGGCTTAAAAAATAAAACCAAACAGAATCAGGGTGGAAAATTGTTAAACTATTGACAAAATAGCTAATTTCCTCTTTAATTTTTACCAACAAGTACCTGTGATCACCTATAAATTCTCTACAGAAAGGAAGGAATGGGAGAAAGATTGTTTCAAGTTTATTAATGTTCAATAGTGAAAATCCATCAAAGTCAGAACACAATAAATAAAAGCAGCCAGAAGAAACAGTTAAGATCCTTTATTAGCTATGTCCTCTTCCAGGATAATTCAATAATTTATCTTTACCTTTATAATTTAAATGTATTTAAAAGGGCTAGCTACAGATTATAAGTCTAATAATTATGCTTGGTAATAGATGAAACGGTAAGAAAACAATCATATTTCTAGACAAAGCTCTGCTAATACTCCAACAAAGGCAAATTACCTAATTTTTTTAAAATAACTTTAGCACCATCATATTTAATCATTTTGAAGAGTAGGAGCAGAAACATTATAGCATAGTGTTTCCAGAATCCAAATTTATCTCAGCAAAACATTTCAGGAATATTCTACCTTGATCATTTTTCAGAGACAAGCTTGACATATCCGGGGGTGAAACATTCTGCTTTGGTACAAGCATGCCTGGCTTCCTCAGTGGTGTGGACACAGGATTCTAAACAAGAGGAGAATTACTGATGGCCTAAATGCCTGTTATATACTTTCTGTTTAAATTAAGCAAAGAACTGCAAAACAGCCCAGTACAGTAACCTTTCTGGGCAAAAGAGCCCAATATATAAATAAATACATACTTGTCAATAACACCAACACTTATAGGCAAATAGCAAATCTTTAAATATTGTAACTTAGTACATGAATAATAAGCAATTAATTAAACTGTAACTGAAAGCCATTGCGCACCACTGATACCTAGCTAGCTAGTTTACTGAGCCACCTCCCATGGTCCAGGCCAGTGACCAAAAGAACAAAACTTGCTCAAGTACTCTCACATTGTTTTTCACAGATTTTATCATAAGGTATTTTACACACAACAAGGCTCAAATTTGGGGAACTCTCCTAAGAAACTGGAAGAAGCAAAACAAGTCTGTTGGCATAACATAGTTCACAAACATAAGATTCTACATCCTACTACGGTGAGTAACTGGGGCCTTATTAGCTCACAACCAGTCACCTAAGGTGTAATCATTGGCCTGCTCACCCCACTTGGAAGAAAGAGTGATGAAACTCAGACATACAGAAAACAACTTGCGGATAGCCTCATGGGCCATTGTCAACATCAGTCTCCACAACCCTGAGATCAGAAGAGCTAGATGGTGCCCAGCTGCCACCATCAACTGCTCTGAAAACGATCATTATACTGGACAGACTGGTAAAAAAAAATGTGGAACAAAACTCAGAATCATAAAAGGGACCAGAGGCTTACAGGGAGAGACAGGTGGGACACCTAGGACTATGGTCTAGGAGTCTGGATCCAAACCCACCTGAGGTAAAATAATCAACCATTTAAGGTAAAAATGGTCACATTTACTCAATACAGAGGGTTAGGAGAGGAGGAGGAATTAAAACAGGAAACAGAGAAGAACTGGAATAAGTGATGGCACATTGGAGGGCTTGCAATGGATGAGTCAAAACAAAATGGATTATGAATCCTTGAATGTAAAACTGATGGAATGTTCTGTAAACCCTCACCTAAAAGTTTTCACCAGTTAAAAAATAAGTCTCATTTCCTAATTAAATATCATAAATTCGACTGAAGTTTCTACTCAGATGAATCCAAAAAATAAAAATATTTCACAGAGAGAACTTCTTTAATTTCAACGCCACGCAGGCAGTTAAAAATTAGAACAAAAGTCTCCGTGTAAGAACGGGGTAGGGAGAGGGGGGTTGGGTGGAGCCAAGTCCATGACGAAGCTGCATTTTCCTCGCAGAAATCAGTAAGAAAACGAGCACGTAATCGTTTCACATTCTACTACACAGAAATCTCACCACCGTCCAACTCGTTCACCCACCTGGAAAGCTTACAAACACCCATCGACCCGCCACACTGGTATTTCTCCGTCTTTTACACAGCAGCTGATGGGATCCCAAGGGCCATTTAAAACCGGGGGCGCGGTCCCAACCGCTCTTGGGGGACCCCACGCAGTCATCGAACTCAACCTCGACGAGCCCCACGGCCTCCTTCCTGGGGCCACACGGGCCCCAGAGGAGGTGGTTGACTGGCTCCGGGTCTCCAAACGGGGGCTCCCCAGGCCTGCCGCCACGCAGAGCTGCCAACGTGGGCGCTAGTCCGCCCCGACGGCCCACTCGCAGGCCTCCTAACCCCCGCGGAACAAAACAAGGCGTTCCCGGGCTAACCGTCGGAAACCAGGTATTCCCCATTCGCCGCCGCATGCCCCGAGCACGCGGGCGCGGGCGGGCGGGCGGGCGGGCGCTCGGTTACCTGCTTCTCCGAAGGCCCGGGGTCCTTTCCCTGGGCGGCCCTCCACTCCCGGGCCATTTCGGCGTATTTCTCCTTTTCTTCCTCCCGCAGGAGCTTGGGGGACGGAGGAGGGGAGACAAGACACACAGACAGCCGTGAAGACCGAACGACTCAAGCCCGTCCGGCCAACCCCTAGCCCGACGGAAGGAGGTGCCGGCGTCGGTTTGCCCCGGGCCGGACCCGGGGGTTCCTTTCCCTCCACGAGGGTCCAGGCGGCCCTTTCCCCCTCAGAATCTCTTCCCCTCCCGCTGCACCACGCACTGCCCTCCCGCCTGCTCCAACCGCCCGGCCCGGCCCGGCCGCCCGTTCGCCCCACTTCGCCTTACGGCCCAGTCGGCGGAGCAGTACGGGATGGCATCGGCGACGCGAGCCACCGGGAGGCCTCGCTGGCGCAGTTCAGGGATCTTCTCTTGCACGAAGAAATAGTAGGCGTTGCGGCTGGCCTTGCGGTTCGGCATGGTGAGCTCGGTCCGGGCTTCGAAGCGGACCTGAGACGGCGAAAACCCGCCCGCGCCCTCGCAGGGCTCCCGCCCTTAGTAACTGAGGCCGATGCGGAGCATGCGCAGACCAGCCGCTCTCCGCCAATGAGGGCGCCGCGCACAGCTGCCCTGGAGACGTTCGGAGAAAAACAGCCTGAGGCCGGATTCCACTTCGTGCTGTGGGGGCGGGGGCTAGGGCGGGGCGGGGCGGGGCGAGGCCCCCCCACAGGTGGAAAGCATTTTGATTGGCTGATTGGAGTCTTGGAGGGGTGGTACCGTGTGGAAGGCTTACGGAGCAATTTCTATGCATTATTGCGTAACTTGCGCTGAACTAGCTGAAAAGATGGCGAGGAGTGAGTGTTTTTGGTTTTCCCATGATTTACTAGTATCGGAGCTAACTTTATGCCCAGATACTGTGAGAAGTATTAGTGAGACGTACAGTGAGGAACACGACAAACAACGCCTTCACCCTCAGGAAGTTTACGGCTAATGAGGATAAAAGATCGCAAAGTAAATAAATCAGCAAATATTGTTAGGGAGGAAACACCCAGAGTAAACGCCTGAGATATAAAGTCCTTGAATAAAGGTGTACAGATTCCCTCAAAATAGTCTGCTTTTTTCTTGTTTGTTATATTCCTAGATAGCAATATTTTTGGTGCAGTTCAGAGATTTCTTTTTTCAATTATGTTTCTTAATTGGTTATTCCTGGAGTGTAGGGAAGGTATTGATTTTAGTGTTGATCCTGTGCATTTAGTCCTGTTGAACTCTCATTGGTTCAACTAGTATCCCTTGATTCTCTTGGATTTTCCACTTAAATAGGTGTTTCCCAGAGGAAATTACCTCCTCGGCTTAGTTTTCTAAGTGTATTATACATTTTAAAATCAGGAATGGTAGTTCACAACATAATTATTAAATGGTTTCTCTGCATCTTTTGAGATCATGTGGCTTTATCTTTTGTTAATTTTTTAACTGATACTGGTAACATTTTTCTCATATCAAAGCAACCTACTAGCCCTAGTATAAACACTCTTTGATTGTGATGCATTGTTTTGTGGTGGTTGCTCATTTCGTTTGTGATTTTTACTTCTTGGAGCTTCTGACTACCACCAGTTGATTCAGACTCACAGTGACCCTAACAAGAGAGAGTAGAATTGTCTCCTGTGAATTTCTGAGACTAAATCTTTATGGGTGTGGAAAGTCTCATCTTTTCCTCCTGGAGTGCCCGGTGGTTTGGAACTGCTGACTTCATGGTTAGCAGCCCAACTCATAACTCATTGTGCCACTAGATTGAATCATAAATAACTTTGTGCTATCTTTATGAATGTTGGTCAGAATTATGATAGTCCATAAAACGAACTGTTATGTTTTCCCCTGGTCAGATTGAACAATAAATACAAAGTAACTATTCTCTGCTGCTGTCAGATGGATCTTATCTAGAAGCTGAGAATACCAGAAATATGTTTACCTGAGCTTTATTGACAATACTAGGGTGAGGGTCATTCTTAAGAACTCTACTTCCAAAGAGCCCCAAATTAGAGAACCCAAATATTCATCAATAAGTTCGTTGAGAAATTGTGGTACATCCATACAGTGGGCTGCTGCTCAGAAATAAAAAGGAATAAAACTATTGAAACACTAACATGGATGAACTAAAAAGAGTAATTTTGCTGTGGTCAAAGCTACTTGCATAAAAGGGTATATTTTGTATAATTTGATTCATATGAAACTTAAGAAAGGCAAAACATAGTTCTAGAAATCAGATAACCTGAGTCAGGTTGTGGGTAGAGGGTTGACTTTAAAACTAGATACAGGTGGCTTTCTTCTCTCTCTTCCAGTCTCTAGTGCTCCCGGAGTCACAGGCAGCAGTGCAGCCAAGTCCAAGGACCACATCATGCACAACAAATACTGAAAATGGCACAGGAATGGCACCAAGAAGCTCCCATCATAACCCTATGAATCTCATAAGCGGGTGGACCATAAGCTCCTGAGGAACACATGCTTTGCCAAGAAGCACAAGAAGGACCTGAAGACCAACACCACCCAGGCCATGGATGCTCGTGCCAAGGCAATCAAGGCTGTTGTAAAGCTCAAGGAGGTCAAGCCTACGATGTTAATGGCCGTCAACCACAAGCTCAGTCGACAGGTCTACACTGCCTGTCCCAAGCTTGGCAAGGGTCAGAGGCTCTGGAGGCCTAAGACCAAAGCCAAGGCTCAAAGAAAGGCTGCTTCTCCAGCCAAGGCCTCAACTCAAACTCAGGCTCCCAAGGTGTTCAGGCTCCGACAAAGTACAGTTCTCCGTCTGAGGATGAGAGACTGGGCTGCAGTTTGCATGGAGCCAGTGTCCTCCTGTGCTGTTTTACAAATAAACCTAAAAGGTGTGTGTGTTGGGGAGGGGGCAGTGGGGGAGGGAGAAAGATACAAGGAACTTGATTGTGGTGATGGATATAATGTAAAGGGTATATATTTATTAACAGTAATTAAGCTATATAGTTAATATATCTGTAAATTTTACCTAAATAAAGTTACCTTTTGGCTAAGGTATCTATCTGTAAATCATGCCTCAATAAAAATTAACCTTTAAAAGATATTATCATAAATATGTATAGAATTTCTTGATATTTAAATATATATACTCTTAATAGTTTTCTCCCTTTTCACTCCTAATGTTTATACTTTCCATCCTTTTTATTCTTCAAGCTTTCCAAAGTTCGTCTGTGGGAATGGTATGTGGCCACATCTAACTTCTGCTACTCAGAGGGAAGGAGCATCAGACTCAACACCAGCCTGAGCTGATTCCCACGAGGCGGCATTCAGATGCCTCCACCATACCTAACCTTCTTTCCCCTACTTTAGCACCAGCCATCCTTCCCGCAGCATTCTACTTCTCTGCTGGTTCAATAATCCATTGCAACATAGGCCACGTGGGACTCGAACAATATTCACAATAACGAGGGGTTATTATGAAAGCAAACAGGTTAGAAGTTAGCATCACTCATATTAACGCAGTTCATTTGTTCCCAGGTCTTCTTAGCCATGTTCACCGCCACTTCTACCTTGGATCCTCAGTGTTTCAGCTGTGTCTCCCTCTGGCCTCTATTCTGCTTAGGCAAGGATTACAAAATTCTCTAGTGCTGACAATGCCCAAAGGGCACCCAACATCCTGCCTGAAGGCACTGGGCTTTACTCATTCCGTGATACAGAAAACACTGCTCTGCCTCGTCATGGTCTCTGTGCTATGGCAGCACTTCACACAGGAATCTAAAACATGCTTCATTCATGCCTCTTTTTTTTTTGTTATTAAAAGATCATTTTATTGGGGGCTTTTACAGCTCTTATAACAATCCATACATCAATTGTATCAAGTACATCTGTACATATGTTGCCATCATTTTCTAGACATTTACTTTCTATTGAGACCCTTGGTATCAGCTCCTCTTTTTTTCTTCCTCCCTTCCATCCCCACCCTCATGACCCCTTGATAAATTATAAATTATTATTATTTTCATATCTTACCCTGACCGCTGTTTCCCTCTCCCCACAGTGTCTGTTGGTCGTCTCCCTGGAGGGGGTTTGTGTGGTTTGTGTCAATCATTGTGTCAATCTGTTCCCTCTTTCTCCCTTCCTCTCCCCACCTTCCCCCTACGCTTCTGATATTACTACTCCCATTCTTCTTCCTGGATCCCATGTGTTATGAGCTCTTACCTCTTATCTGTACCTGTGCACATGCTCTGGTCTAGCCCGCAGTGGAAGGCAGGAGTGCGGTCATGGTGGTGGGGGGTGAGGAAGCCTCGAGGAACCAGAGGAATATTGTGTGTTTCATCAGTGCTTTATTGTGCCCTGGTTGACTCATCCTTTCCTTGGGACCCTTCTGTGAGGGGACGTCCCATTGTCTACAGATGGGCTTTGGGTCTCTGCTTCGACCCCTCTCGTTCTCAACAACATGATTTTCTTTGTTTGTTTGTTTGTTTGTTTGTTTGGGGTCTTCTGATACCTATTAACTAGTCCTGTCAACACCTCATGATCACAGTCTGGTGTGCTTCTTCCATGTGGGCTTGCTGCTTCTCTGCTAGATGGCCACTTGTTTATTCAAGCCTTTAAGACGCCAGACGCTCTATCTTTTGATAGCCGGGCACCATCAGCTTTCTTCATCACATTGTCTGCTGGTTGTGGGAAACTCAGTTCTTACTTCTGCCATGTCTCATTTGCATGACAAAACTGACCAATCCTTAATATGGAGAGCTCTACACTTTATTAGCATGCTGCCACCCACTCATTTGGTAGGAATTACAAATATTAAGAATAGAAGAACCATACCAAGTAATTTCACATCACTACAGTCTATTTTGTTGATATATTTTTTTGAGCATAACAGATTTGGATTTCACCAATCAACTTTATAATTTTCTGAAATTTTTCTCTTTTTTCCACTCATTTCTGCTTTATGTTTATTAGTTCATTCTTGCTACTTCAGATTATTTTATAGGTTCTTACCCCATCCCCACCCCAAGATTCTTGAATAAAATACTGAGTTCCATTCTTTTCAGTCTGTTTGTTTATTGGTTTCTTATTCCCCCTTTCTGCTTTAGTTGTTTGATCGGTATTTTTTGTTTTACTTCTCTTTCTTTGGTTTCAAAGTTAGTTTTCTTCAGTGTTTATTATCCTTCCAATTTAATATACATATTAAGCTGATATTTTCTAACTTCTGAAATTAAGAGATTTTTAGATTCTCTCTTCTCAAACAAGAAGCTTAGAAAATCTGCTTTTTCCCCCCTCAGTTCCCATATCCATTTTCTGTATGGATATCACCAGGCATTTTTGCTTCAGATTTCTTTATTAATACAAATGGTGAGACATACATTCATCTCACATACTTTGGACATGTTGTCTGGAAAGACAAGACTCTGGAGAAGGACATCATGTTTGGTTCAGTACAGAGGTAGTGATAAATAGATTATCCATAGTTTATTATGGTCCACACAGTTGAAAGTCTTTATACAGTCAATGAAACACAGGTAAA